CCTGAGACACCCCCTTCACACCTGAGATACCCTCCTCACACCTGAGATACCTCCTCACACCTGAGACACCCCCTCACACCTGAGATACCCCCCTCACACCTGAGACACCCCCTCACACCTGAGACACCCCCCTCACACCTGAGACACCCCCTTCCCACCTGAGACACCTCCTCACACCTGAGACACCCCACACACACCTGAGACACTCCTCCTCACACCTGAGACACCCCCCTCACACCTGAGACACCCCTCCTCACACCTGAGACACCTCCTCACACCTGAGACACCCCCCTCACACCTGAGACACCCCCTCAACCATGGTCACCACCTCACACCTGAGATACCCCTTCACACTTGAGACACCCTCTCACACCCGAGACATCCCCTCACACCTGAGACACCCTCCTCAACCATGGTCACCGCCTCCTCAGAGCCTTCTGAGGGTTGCTGTCATGGCCTCACTTCCTCACAGGGGGCTCTTCAGGCTCCACAGCAGAAACTTGGTGTCTGATTGGCAGTCTTGCCTTGTGCTATGACGTTGGTGCATGTTATAGTTTTGTTAATTTTTCCTTAACTTTAAAAAGTTCCTCTTTTAATTTAACTTATTCTTTACGATTTACATTTTATTCATGCATATGTGTTTGTGTCTCCCTCTGTGTGTGTGTGGGGGGGGATGCACCCTGGGGACAGAAGGCCCTCTTGGAGCATGGGTTCTAGGCGGGTTGAATTGCCTGATGTGGGTGCTGGAAAGTAACTCAGATCCTCTGAAAGAGCAGCAAGTGTCCTGAACTTCTGAACTGCATCCTCCGCTCCTGGAGGGTTAATCTAAAACATTTTATTACACTGACCTGTGGAAGGAGGGGATGTATGGCATGGCATCTATGTGTGTGTGTGTGTGTGTGTGTGTGTGTGTGTGTATAGATCAAAGAACAGTTGGAGGGAGGAGACATATGTCATGGCATGTACACACATGTGTAGATCAGAGAACAGTTGAGGAGGACATATGCCATGGCATGTGCACGTGTGTGTAGATCAGAGAGCAGTCGGGGGAGGGGATGTATATCATGGCATGTGCGTGTGTGTATGTGTAGATCAGAGAACAGTTGAGGGAAGTTGGTCCTCTCCACTATGTGGGCCCCAGATTCAAATTCAGTCCTCAGACTTGGCATCGAGTGCCTTTTCCTACTGAGCCATCTAGCTTGCCCTGGACAATGGATTTTTGAGATACAGGGCGATGTTGGATAATCATGCAGAGGGCTTTGGAAGTCCAGCCAATAGCCATGGGTCACTTTTCTCACCCGTTGCTTCCTGTTACCTCAACTCTCCCCAGCATACGTCACCTGACTCTTCCTGTCTATTGTTTTAAGAAGGTAGCTCAGTTGGCAGAGTCCCTGCCTAGCTGCACAAAGCCCTGGGCTCAGACCCCAGCTCTACACAAACCAGGTGTGGTGTGAATGCCTGGAACCCCAGCGCTCGGGTGATGAAGGCAGGCGGACTGGAATGGAAATTCAAAGTTGTCCTAGACGACATAGCGAGTCTGACTCCAGCCTGGGCCACACGAGACTATTACAAGAGAGAGAGAATGCTTCCCTGGGGGGTACCAGCCCACTGTGTTTCTGTTCAGCTCTGTCCCATCCTGGGCAAGTGGCTTATCTGGGGAATTTCCTAGCTAAGCAGACTAGAAGCAGAGGCTATTCTAGAATATTTAAAATTGGTTTTTAATATATGGCATTATAATTCAAAAAGAATAGAAAGGGTTCCTATCAAGAGTGTCTCCAGCCTGGAGAAATGGTTTAGAGGTTAAAAGCACTGACTGCTCTTCCAGACGATCCAAGTTCAAATCCCAGCATCAACCTGATGGTTCACAACCATCTACAATTCCAGTTCCAGGGGATCTGATGCCCTCTTCTGCTTCCATAGACACCAGACACACACTTGATGCACAGACTTACATGCTGACCACACACACACACACACACACACACACACACAGAGTCAACCCTTCCTCTCCTGGTTCGCACAGCACAGCCATAGCAGCTGTAGCAAGTGATGTGTTCTGAGAGCTTCACAGGGTTCTCTGTGTAGCAGAGTGGACTCTGGTAAGGGTGATTTTATTTTGAAATGTTATCATACAAAGTGATGGACTTTACTGTAACATTTTCACACATGTATGTTCATACTTGGTTTGTTTAGCCTTTTCCACCCTCCCCTGTTCCCTTTCTCTCCCCCAAATGGTCCCCACTTCTGTTTCCACATCACATGTGTTCTGTTACCTTCTCTTTTTCTCCTTTAATCCTGTGATGTCTCTTCTTCCCCATCATGGACAGTGTTCCATGACCCTGCACACATGTAAAGTAGCTTGATACTGAGATACCAACAAAATAGTCTATAGCTAAAATTTTCATATTAAAAACCTTAGAATTGAATTTGACTCTCTCTGTATGTCATATAAAAATTTTAGACTGGGATTTGCTGGCTATCTTCACGGCTCTGAGAGTTTCAGAGCCACGTCACTCCTCAGAAGCTGACTGCGTGCAGGAGAAATTACTCAGTCTGGGTTTTGTGTTGATCCTAGACAGCAGAGGGCTTCCTGCTCGTGGTTGGATGTGAAAGAGGGAGGATTCTCTTCGTGTCTAAGTCCATCTCCAAAACACTGCAGTATGATCAGGTATCAAACCACGGTGTGTTTCCACGTAGTCCTGAGAATAAATACAATGTCCTTCTGGTTCTTATTGCCGCTATTAAAGATCTTAAAGATCCCATCAAAATCCTGTGATTGTGTCATGCTATTCTGTTCAGGGCCCAGGTAAATCCTTTGGTTGAGGGGCATCTAGGTTGTTTCAGCATTACAAACAATGCTGCTATGAACATGGTTGAGCACCTGTTCCCCAGTGCTGGTTTGCCTGCTCATGTGTCTGTGCACCGCATGCATGCGTGTACCACAGACGCGAGAGGAGCCGTCAGATCCTCTGAGGTGAGAATACTGTGGCTGTGAGCTGCCCTGTAGGTCCTGAGTCTTCCAGAAGAAAAGCATGTGCCCCTTAAACTGACCCATTTCTCCAGCCCCTCAGAATGCACTTTTGTTTGTATTTACAAATATCACCCAGAACCCCGAGTTAATGCCTCACGGCGTGGCGTGTCTTTATTTAAGTTCACGGAAGGTTTACTTCTTGGGGTATAACTCAGTGGTAGAGCACTCTCCTGGCACACGCAAGGCCCTGGGTTTGAGCCCCAGCACTGGGGAGAAACAAATCAACCTCGAACAAGGAACATTTATCTTACGTGTGTGAAGAAATGCCCAAAGGTGAGTTCATTGACGGCAAGTGTGTGGCCTCTTTCTTAACAGGGCAGTTTGATGGGGCAGAATCTGTTTGACTTTTTACACCCAAAAGATGTCGCCAAAGTAAAGGAACAACTTTCTTATGATGTTTCACCAAGAGAGAGACTTGTGGACACCAAAAGTGAGTTATACTTTTGGGGTTCTTACCATTGTCCCTACTTCCTAACTGGTCACCTTCCATCGCTGAGATAAATCACCATGGACAACAGAAAGGGCATTTATTTATTTATTTTTAGTTTACTCTTTCAGAAGGATAGAGTCTATCACGGTGGGAAAGACATAGCATGGGGGCAGGGACAGGAAACGGGTTGATTATGTTTTTTTTCACACATAGGAAATAGAGAGAGGGATGGAGGAAGAAGCAGGGGGAGGGAAAAAGAGAGATAGAGAATTCCTTTACAGACATCTGCAATAAATATTCGATGAAGATGATATGTGGGCATATATGATTGCTTATAGTTTTAAGTCCAAATGAAACTTTTATAAGATAGTATTATTTGGGGTTAAAAAGTCACTGTATACGACCCAGATTTTCAGGGTATGAAAGATCTTGTACAGTTGGGCTCGGGATATATATATATTCGTATCCAAAGATACTTGACTTGTGGAAATGCCTAGTGCCAAGCAATTACTTATGACATAGAAACAGTGATTTGGGGGCCAGAGAGGTGACTCAGCAGTTAAGAGCAGAGAGGTGACTCACTGAGCAGTTAAGAGCTCTTGCCGAGGACCCAGGTTCTGCTTCCAGCATGCACAGTGCTGCTCACACTGATTGTAACTCCAGCTCCAGGGGTCTGATGCCCTCTCTTGGCCTCCATGGGCACGCACATCCACTCAGGTAAACACACACACATAAAACACAAATAAATTGTTTTTAAAATTAAGGGGAGGAAATGATCTAGGCAGTTTTTTTTTAAATTTTTGTTTTATTTGTTTATTTGTTTGCTTGTTTGTTTGTTGAGACAGAGTTTCACTATGCAGCTTTTGCTGATCCGGAGCCCCCTATGTAGACCAGGCTGTCTTTGAACTCACAGAGATCTGCCTACCTCTGCCTCCATAGTGCTGGGTTTAAAGGCATACACTGCGATTATTTTCTTTTTTTAATAGAAGGGAAGAAGAGAGAATGGAGGAGGTGGGCTTTAAGCTTGCCTGTGACCTTTCTGTTCTCATTCCCACTGCTGTGAAAGCCTGTCTGCAGGTTTACAGTCCCGGCCACACTCGGCGACCACACATGCATTCTGGCTCCAGACGATCTTTCTTCTTTAGAATGAAGAGCTGTAAAATCCCCATCAAGGAAGAGCTTAGACGTTCACCCTGCTCAAAGAAGAAAGGTAGGACTCCTGGGAGAGCATGCGGTTCAGAGCCTGGTGTGCAACACGAGGTCCTAATCAGTTTCTGTAGGAGAAAAAGTAAATTCCACAGTCAAGGCAAGAAATAGGATACAAAGTGTCTAAGTGGGATTGTGTTAAACCAAGGTTGTTCATACTGTCTCTTCAGTCTGTGCGCATTCTGCTCTCCGGGATATCCCTGGTGCTGCTGAACTTGTAGCAGAGAAGGCTGTCGTTCAGTTTGAGGCCAGATCTGGTGGCCTTGAACTTTAGAACTTAGGAAACAGGGGCAGGTGGATCTCGGTGAGTTCAAGGCCAGCCAGGGCTACGTCCCAGACTCTATCTCAATAGTAAAACAAAAGCTCAATGACAACAAAGTTTGATTTCTTTTAAAGTTTGTTTGTTTGTTTGTTTGTTTTTTGAGACAGGGCCTCACTTCGTAGCCTTGGCCAGGAGTTCATTATGTTGACCAGGCTGGCCTCGAACTCACAGAGATCCACCTGCCTCTGCCTCCTGAGTGGGAATTAAGGGTGCATACTACTGTGCTCAGCCCTAAAGCAATGTTTTTATCATAGTTTTAAAGTGTGTGTGTGTGTGTGTGTGTGTGTGTGTGTACACAACCGGGTACAGTGCCCACAGAGGCCAGAGGGGCCATTAGAACCCTGGAACTGGAGTTACGATCAGCTGTGAGCTGCCTAATAAGAATGCTGGGAACTGAACTTGGGCCCTCTAGAGGAGTAGCGGAAACTCTTAAGTAGCTCACCATCAATCTAGCCCCTGCTTGTTTCTTTTTGAGACAAAGTCTTACTGTGTAGTCCAGGCTGCTCTGGAGCTCCTGTGCGTCATCCCCCTGTCTCAGCCTCCTGAGTGCTGAGATTTCAGATATGGGACACCTCACCTGACTAAAAAGTGGCCTTTATATAGGACTGCAGGGTTCTATTTATTTTTATAAATTTTTGTATAAATTGTTTTTATAACCACACATGAAGAAAATCACATGTGTTGATGATCTATTAAACATTTAGTCTGTCCCTGATGCTACTAAGAACATTCTAATTCTCATGAAAATATTTTTATGTCTGTCTTAGAATCAAGGAGGAGATACTTTTTGTTTGTTTGTTTGTTTGTTTTCAAGACAGGGTTTTGCTGTAGCTTTGGAGCCTTTGCTGTCACTAGCTCTTGTAGACCAAACTGGCCTTGAACTCACAGAGATCCACCTGCCTCTGCCTCCCAAGTGCTGGGATTAAAGGCCTGCACCGCCACCACCTGGCTAAGGAGGAGACACTTGAGAGACTTAATGACCACTCAGTCACCTCCCTCTTGCCCGTGACTCTGTGTGGTACTGAGCATAGGGCAAAGGCAGTCCCTAGTAATTGTTGTTCTCACTAAAGGTAGACCAGTTATCTCTTGTTTATGGATAGTGAATACCTGGTGCTTGTCTTTTGAACTCCCATGTTACCGGTGTCCTCTGCTCACTTTCATTTTGCCATAAACAACGGGATTCCATTTTCCTCTGTGTGTGAATCACACTGCATTGTTTGTATACCATATCCCCTCTAGTCTGTCTGCCTGTTTGCAGGCTTCTTAGGCTGATTCCTGTCATAGCTGGTGTGACCATGTGCTTTAAATTTGGAGATTTTAGGGGTCTCTTTGTACCTTGACTTTGCTTCTTGGGATAGGCCCAGAAGTGGGGTAGCTGGATGTCATGATAGTAGCCTTTTGAAGAATTTCCATACTGTTTTCCACAGTAGCTGTTAACAATGACTCCCCTTGACTATCTCTGTGGTTCCCTCTTTATCTATAGCTTCCCCAGCTTTTGTTCATTTGCCTTACGCTTCCTCCCATAGTTCATCATCCAGGGAAGTAGAGGCAGGAACTCAATCAGGGCAGGATCCTGGGGCAGGAGCTGATATAGAGGCTGTGGAGGGGTACTGTTTACTGACTTCCTCCTCATGGCTTGCTCAGCCTGCTTTCTTATAGAACCGGGAATCACCAGCCCAGGGAGGGCACCACCCATGAGGAGCTGGGCTCTCCCCCAAGGAATTGCCAATTTAAAAACATGGCTCGTAAGCCTGCCTGCAGCCCAGTCTTAGCTGAGGTTCTCACCTCTCAGATGACTTTAGCTTGTGTCAAGTCGACACAAAACTAGCCAGCCCAAGTGGACAGTCTTTGGATTGATGTCTGCCTTGTGAAGTTTGAGTGTTTATTCTTTATATATGGTGAATACTAACTCTTAGCCAGATGAGTCACCAGCAAGTCTCTCCTAGTTCTAGGTTGTGTTTTTCCTTTTGTTGACTGTGTGCTGCAGACAAGATTTTGAGCCTGGGAATCCCATCTAGGAAAAGCTTGCCTGTCCCAGCGTCTGAGATAGCTGCTCTGTTTCCTCTTTGTAACTTCATAAGTCTGAGATCTACACTGAGGTCTTCATACATGTTTCCGTTGACTTCTGCGGAGGGTGAGAGGTGAGGCTTCAGTTTTGGTTCTGTGTATGACTATCCGGTTTCCCCAGCACCGTTTGTTGAGGGAGCTGTCATTTCTCCCGCGCAGGCTTTCCCACACCAGTGTTGAGAATCAGCTGTCTTCGGACCTGTGGGTTTGTTTCTGGGTTCCTCGCTTGCTCTGTTGGACTGTGTATTTATTTCCTGTGCCGTTACCATGAGCTTTTGTTACCATGGCCCGGGGTTGTACTTTGAAGTTAGACATCTCCAGCTTTGCTATTTGGGCTCCTTTGTGCTTCCATGTGAACTTTAAGTTTTTTTTCAGCACTGTTAAGGATGTCATTGCTTTTCTGTAAGGAGTGCACTGAATCTGTAGACTGCACTGAGGTGAGCCAAAAGAACAAGCCTGGAGCTATTCTGATTTGGGGTTCGCTTTGTTCTTGCTTTCTAAGAGGAATCATTAGGTTGTGCATTTGAATTCTGTCTTCTTGATCTTATTATTTTATGTTAGCGCTCATTGCTGTAAACTTCCTTCTTAGGACTTTTTGCTTTATGTCAAAGATTTTAGCCTGTTGTATGTTTTTTTTAAATTATTTTTAAAGAATTCTTAAGTTAACATAGAAGGTATCTGGTGTCATTGTGACATCTTTATAAGTGTATGCACTATACATTGGTTGTTTTCATGTGACATCTTTATATGTGTATGCACTATACATTGGCTGCTCTCATTCGCTCTCCTCCTCATGCCCCTCCCTGTCCTAGGTTCCTTCCTTCCTCCTGTCCGTCCTCTTCCTCTTCCTTTTCCTCATCACAGGTGTTTCCATTTCTGTCTGTTTCAAGAAATCTTAAATTCCCCTTGGAGTGAAAGTGCACTGTCCCACTCCACGCGGACACACAGGTTTTAGTCCTCTTTATTGACTTGTTGACTCCATCCTATCGTGACCAGCAAAGATACAGGATAGGATTTAATTCTGCATGAATCTGTTAACACTCATTGTGTGGCCCAGCACACAGTGTACTCGAGAGACAATTCCACGCGTGACGAAGAGATGGAAAGACTGTGAGTGATACAGAGGCTCAGAGGCCAAGGCAGCCTGTCCACACCTGGCCCTCAGCTACACTGTAGGCCCCGCCTGTTTCCAAAGACAAGCAGAGACTACTAGAACACCTCACAGAACTGTTAAGGAGGTTAGACGAGTTGTACATTCATGACCGTAAGGCCATCAGGCCTGAGGCTCACCCTCTTCGTCTCTATGCCGCTGCTGACTGAAACCCTTTGGACAACCTTCAGAATTTCCTGTTAAAAGAGAAACAAACGATTTTTTAAAGATTTGTTGTTGGGGACCAACAAGATGATGTGAAGGCATTTGAGGGACACACAGTGACCTGAGTTTAATCCCACAAAAGGATGGAGAGAGAATCAACTCTCAACGCTGTCCTCTGAGCTCCACATGCAGGCTTCTGCACGTGTGTGCACGCATATGTCACACACACACTGATAGTGATAATGAAATCTGCTATCCTGTCGGTCTTCCTGGACATTGCCAGTTTAAAAGAATGGCTGTTCCGGTCTTCTGCGAGCCCAGTCACAGCTGAACTTTCCAAATAACGTGTCTTAGGACTTTCTCTGCTTTTTAGCATTTAAGTCACTTTTTTTAGGTGTGTGCAATGTGTGCACCACCCGTCTTCTGAGCCCACATGATAGTTTATTGTTTTTTTCCGCCATAGTTGAGCATATGATTTTTTCCCTCGTTTTTCATTTGGTGGGCTGTGTCATAGGGATTAATTGCTTAGAGTTTTTCTGAAAACTCAAGCTTTTGAGTGTTTTTTAATACCTTTTAATGTATTTCCAAGTGCTCATCAAATATGTCTGTGGTTCAATATGACCATAAATGTCTATTAATCATCATCACAGCCAACAGTAAGAGATTCTCTTCATAATAGACAGAGTGGTACAGATGTATAACAGCTTGGGAGGCTGAGGCAAGACTATCAGGAGTTAGGGGATAGCCTGGTATACATAGGGATCTGGGGGTTAGCCTGAGCTACTGGATGAATTTGTCTCAAAAAAAAAAGTGGAGGTGGAAGGAGGGAAAGAGGAAGTGGTGGTAACGTTGATATTTGCGTTCTAAGTGTATTTCTATGGCTTTTTGTTAGACCACAGAAAATTCTACACCGTCCATTGCACTGGATACTTGAGAAGCTGGCCGCCGAGTGTTGTTGGTGTGGAGAAAGAGAGGGGCAGTGAGAAAGACAGTGGTGCCCTTACCTGCCTGGTAGCCATGGGGCGGTTGCATCCATACACCGTCCCTCCGAAGAGCAGCAAGATCAAAGTGAGGCCAACTGAGTTCGTGACCCGTTTTGCCATGAATGGAAAATTTGTCTACGTTGATCAGAGGTGCACGGGGCATGCACGCTGTGGCAATGGGAAGCCGCTGGGGCAGCTGAGGTTGTTCGGGGAGCAACTCCGTAGCTCTGCTGGAGGTTTCTTCTATTAGGGCTGCACAGTTTAAACAATGTAAGGATAGGGCTGTGTTGGTGTTTTTGGTCAGGACAGAGGACAAACCTGGAAAGGTGTTTCTTAGTACTGGTGCTGAGTCCTGACCTGCTCCACCGCCACGGTGTTGGCGGTAGCCGTGTAAGCATCATCTGGACTCCGTGGGACCTCACCTGGTGGCTTGTTTTGTGGCTCTGGTCTGCAGCTGGGGAGGACCAGGTTATCCCTTAGGAGCCCAGTGGTCCACGTGACTAGCTCTTCCCCCAGGCTGCTGTCCTGAAGTCCCAAGTGTCCTGGACTTGCGGTAGCCTGGGAGCCGTTACCTTCAGCAAATGTCATGTTTGTTTTCTGTTTCACAACCAGGGCAACAGCGATTTTAGGATACCTGCCTCAGGAACTCTTGGGAACTTCGTGTTATGAATATTTTCATCAAGATGACCATAATAGTTTGACTGACAAGCACAAAGCAGGTGGGTGATTCATTGTGTGAGGTGCTCTGAGGGTAATTTAAAATCACGACTTCAGTCAGGGGTAATGGATCACACTCAAAATCTCAGTACATGGGAGGCGGCAGTAGAAAAATCAGGAGTTCTGGGCTAGCCTGGTCTACATGGCAAATCCCTGTCTAAATATATAAATAAATAAATAATAGTATCAACTCTCAATTTTTCATTTATTAAATCCAAAATTCAAATTGATTCTCAAGACACTGGCTTTTGATTTGGGGTTTACTCTTGGCCTAGAATTCTGTATGGGCCCCTGGCTGGCCTGGAACCAGTAGCTACCCTCTCCTCAGCCTCCCTAGCACTGGGATTCCTGGCAGGAGCCACCACACTCAGCTTGAAGGCTTTTGATTTTAAAGGCTGCTCTATTGATCACATCTTTTCTTGTGAAGTTCTGCAGAGTAAGGAGAAAGTACTTACAGACTCGTACAAATTCAGAGTGAAGGACGGCTCCTTCGTAACCCTCAAGAGCCAGTGGTTCAGCTTCACTAACCCTTGGACCAAAGAGCTGGAGTACATTGTGTCTGTCAACACACTGGTTTTGTGAGTACTTCTCTGTCTTCTTAAGACCTTTGTATTAATTTCAAATGAGTGTCTCTGGTTTTCCAAAGAAGCCATTAAAATTGCATGGTCCTCTGGCTGTATGGAAGCTCAGTTTGGGGATGGGTGCCAGCCAGGAGCCAGTACAGCTGACAGAATCCTTTTGGGCTTCTCCCATATCCATCCCCAGAGCTTGTCATCATTAGTTGCATGACTGGAACAAAGTCATGTAAATGGTTGTTGTACCAGATTGTATAGGAATAATAACAAGAAAAAGCCTCAATGTGTTTGGGAAAGATGAACGTTTTCCCCCTCAATTGTTTTGGTCCCAAATATAGGTTCCCCTCACTTCAGAGAATGTCACCCATGTTGTTTCTGGTTTCCAGGGGGCACAGTGAGACTGGGGCACCCCCGTTCCTTCACGGCAGCAGCCAGTCCTCAGAAGGTAAGCGTTTCAGATCGGGATTTAGCTCAGACGCGTCACCCAGCATGTGTTTTATGAAGATGTGGTTTTCTATCTAAGAGAGGAGCTTTCCAGGGGAGGGTGGAAGACATTCCGACTGGATAGACATTTGTTGTAGAAGGAGGCCAAGGCAGCAAAGGTGACTCGGCGAGTCCAGCATTTGTCATGCACACATAGTGACCTGAGTTCAACCCCCAAAACACACACAAAGGTCGAAGGAGAGGACGAACACCACAATGTTGTCCTCTGAACTCCACCACCACATACATGTATCATACACATACATGTAGACATATATACACACATATACACCATCATACACATACACATCAAACACACATACATTATACACATGTACACATCACCACACACACATACATATGCACGCACCTCCACTAGAGTGTAATGTGGCACCACACATAAGCAGTTGCCCACATGACTGGTTTCCTGCTGGACAGAGTTCCTCACGAGCAGACCTGGTATTTTCACGTGGTCTCCATGCAGCAAGCATTCTTCCCTGAGTACTGTGTGCTACACACCACTAGACAAATGTGTTCCTCCCTGTCTACTGTGCTCATTACACACCAGTAGACAGTGAGAGATAAATCATGAAGGGCGTGTTTTGCATCCCTCTCTCTTTTTTATCTACGGGGCTGTGCTCATGTATTTTATGCAAAATATTTGTTTAAGTATCTGGATATGGTGGTAAGCAAACACACGTAATCCCAGCACTTGGGAGGCAGAGTCAGGAAGATTTGGAGTTACCTCCCTCAGGTACTTAATATCCAATTAAACAACAAAACCAAACGAAAACTCCAGGAGGCAGAGGCAGGCAGGTCTCTGAGTTCAAGGCCAGCCTGGTCTACAGAGTGAGCTCCAGGACAGCCAGGGCTACACAGAGAAAGAACAAAAAGTCAAAACAAACAAACCAGACTCCTGGGACTGGAGAGACGGTTCAGTGGTTAAGGGCACTGGTTGCCGTTGTAGAGGACCTGGGTTCGGGTCTCACGCTGGTGGCTCACACCTCCCTGTAACTCCTGGCGTCCATGACACTGTGTGCATTATTGCAAACAAACACTCATACACAGAAAATAAATAAAATAAAAACAGCACAAAAGGAACTGTGAACTGTAAAGTGGCATCGCCTGGCTCTGCTGTAAAGGTCAAAAGTCAAAGAGGAAGGGCCGTGTTGAGGGTTGTGGGTGGTGGCTGTCCCCCTTGGTGACTACACTGTCTGTGACCACTACCCTCGGTGTCTCTAGTGTTGGGAACTGTGTAATGAAAGGTTAGATGTGTCCTGGCGTTTTAAGGGGTGGCTCAACTGTTTCTTCTCAGGAGAAACCAGGAAGCTATTTCAATAGAAAGAAAGCCACTCACTAGGGCTGTGTGCTCCTTAACATCCTTGACTGTGTTTTCTCCTGCGCTGTTGCCTAGACTCCTTTAGACAGTCCTGCGTCCGTGTGCCTGGAATACCCACGGGGACCGTCCTTGGTGCTGGGAGTATCGGGACAGACATTGCAAATGAGGTTCTGAGTTTACAGAGGTGAAGTATTATCACTGCAAATAGTCTCGTATGAATGGCTGCCTTAGTTACTAAGCAGCATGCAGATCAGTTGTTCGTGTGTGTGTGTGTGTGTGTGTGTGTGTGTGTGTGTGTGTGGGTGTAAGCATTCGGGAGGGCGGGACCGAGGGTGGGTGGGTATGTGCATATGGATGCCATACCAACAAGGCTCAGAGGCATCAGATCCCCTGGAACTGGAGTTATAAACAGTTGGGAGCCACCCAGAAAAGGACGTTTATAACCTTAATTTGTCAGATTGTTTCTAAACATCACACCAGATACATAATTCAGGAAGAAGGAATTTATAAATTTAATTGCATAAAAGTTTGAAATTGAAGCACAAACTATGCCATTGCAATAAAGTTGAAAGCACAAACTGGAAAATGTGAGTATTTTGTATAATAAAACAGACTATCTTTAACTTGTAAAGAATTTTATACCATAAATATATTAAATATGTAAGTTTTATATAGTTACATGTTAAACTTCATGTACAGCATAAAGGTGAGCTATTCAATAATTGCATAGGTGCCTGGAGAGATGGCTCAGCAGTTAAGAGCACTTATTACCCTTGTAGGAAAACCCATGTTCCGTTCCCAGCACCCACTTAAAGGCTCACAAAGGTCTGTAACTCCAGTGCTAGGAGATCCAGCTCCCTCTTCTGGCTGCTGAGGGCACTGCACATATGTGGTATACATGCAGGCAAACACTCATAACCTTAAAATTAAAATAAATAAAATAAAACAATGTCTTAGAATAATAATTCAATTGTATAAGGGAACCACTCATACACATACAATATATACATAGATATATACAAACAAACATACAGAAATGGAGGAATAGGAAAAAAAGGACAGTCCATGTGAGCCCACACCTTGCTTATTTGGCATCTTAGCCTCAATTTCAAGGTCTATATTTCCTTCTGCTGAAGGCGTGAACCAGGGATCTAGGTAATAGTGGATCTGCTTACGTGTCTTACTTTTTAAAAAATGATATCTGCTTACTTATTTTGTGTATGTGCCTGTGTGGGGGAGTGCACGCCACAGCCTGTGTCGGTGTCAGAGGGTTCCTTGAGGAAGTCAGTTCTCCTGGGCCCCAGGGTCAAGCCCAGGTCGTCAAGTGAAGCTACAGCCTGCACCCTCTTGGCCATCTCGCCTGCCTGCATTTCACTTTTTAAGCAGAATAAAACGCACATAACAGCATCTGCTATCTTAATACACACAGGGGCTGGAGACGCGGCTCGGTGGTTAGGGTGGTTGGTGATCATCTGGAGGACCCGAATTTAGTTCCCCCACTCGCACCAGGCAGCTCACCAGCATCTGGAACTCCAGTTCCAGGAAATCTGACACCCTCTTCCGGTCTCTGCAGGCACTTGCACACACATGTGCATACGCACATACACATACCTAAATAAAAACAAAATCTTAAAACGCACAGCTCAGCATCGCTCAGTGTTGTGCTGCGCCATCACCACGCTCCCCCGAGGTTTCTTCATCCAACCCTCCCACTCCCGACCTGCTCTCCCACGGCCTCAGCCCCCTCCTATGTCCTATTCCGACTTCCTTGGGTGGCTTCAGCACTCCAGAGTCCAAAAAAACCTGGCTCCGAAGAGGTGGGTGTTCAGTCTGGAGCTCCTTGCTGTAGTTTATCTGTCGGTCGCTTGTGTGAAGCATTCAGGGGGGAAAGACGCCTTCTAAATTCCCGTCAGAGGGATAAACTTCTCTTGCCCTCCCTTCTCAGGTTACACTCCTCATCCCCAGAAGATTCAGATCCTTCAGAAAGAGCTAGAGATCACCACAGTGTGACCTGCGGGAACGCCAGTGTGCCCGTAAGTGGTGTAAGTGTTCATTGTGAGGAAGAGGCCACCCCAGAAAATAAATGGACTTTCTGCTGACTTGGTGGCCTGAGGGTGCAGTACAGGTCGGTGGTTACAGCAGGCATGGTTAGAAGGACACGGAAGGGCTCCGGGTTGTGACGCAGATACCTAGTCTTTGGCAGGTTGGGTTCAGAATTTGAACTCTGCCTCAGTTTCCTCACTTGTGGGGCAGGTATGATAATAACATCCCTCTAGATGAATATGAGAATTAGGGGATGAAATATAAACCAAAAAACACTTGTTGAGACAGCATCCTATGTAGCCCAGGCTGACCCCAAACTCACTGTGTAGCTGAGGTTGACTTTGAACTCCTAATTTTCCTACCTCCACCCCCCAAGTGCTGGGATGACAGGCGTGTATCACGACACCAGACAAAACCAAACACTCTTCAAATGGTGGTTGCTACACCTCCTAGGCGCTCAGTGGGTGATAGCTGTTATGATCGCCACAGATTCTACACTCAAGTAGTTTGAAAGAGATTTAAATAAAATAAGCCGTGAAGTAAGTACTGGAGGCTATGTGTTCACACCGACATACTCCAGCTAATGGAAATACATGTTGCACGCCCCTGGGCTGGTTGTACACACCTGTCTTCCAGCAACTCAAGAGCTGGAATGAAGACTCTCAAAGCCAACTTAGACAACTTAGTGAGGCCTGTCTCGAAATAAAAAGGTTTAAAAATTAAAAGGACTTAAAGGGATGGATACATAGCTTAGTGGTAGAGCCCTCACCTGGCATATGGAAAGGCCTGGGTTTGATCCCTGTAATTGGGGACGCTAAACTTTATGCTGTTAGTCTGAAATACATTGTAATCCTAGTGTGGCACACAGAAATTCCATGAGTCAGCTCTGTGCTCTGAGAATACCGGAAAGACAGCCACGTGTGACCTGGGAACCAAGGGTCTGAAAGTATAAATATCACATGATACTTGTATGAAAATATAGCTTGTCTTCCTATTAAGCTATTCATGTATTCACACATTTAGCAAATAAAGTGATCTTACAGAAGCGGACACATAAATCATTGTAATAAAATCTTCCGGCCTCCGCATGTGCATAGCTGTGCAAACATGTACGTATACATGCATGCACACAACACATACACACATGCACACATACACGCATGCACATACATACATCCCATGCTTTCCCATAAGTGCCTTAGTTTGGAATCTCGTGGCGGCAGGGAACGGTTGACGATAGAGATAGTCTCTCTAAGCTTCCACTGTGGAAGATGCGGGTGTGCAGGATGTACAGCGTGGGGTGGGTACTTGCGAACTGAGTACTGATGGAGGTTCTGGTGCCGACCCACTTCAAAGCCACCCAGAGGTCCTCACTGTGCTCGAGGCTTGCTGACCGCTCCTGTCCTGCCTTTCCAGGTGTCCACGCAGGAGCGCTTTTCACTGAGTCCTGGAACAGGGGGCCTGGAGGCTGCAGGGCAACACGAGAGCCCTGAAGCTGCCCACGGTCACAGGCCACTCCTCAGTAAGTTGTCCCTGTCCCCGGTCACCATATGAACTTTCCAAAGCCCCCTCTTTGTCACCATAGTTTTATGCACAGGAGAGTTTTGAAAAAAAAATGCTTTATAAAATAACATTTTTTCCCCACCAGGCATGGTGGCACATACCAATAATCCCAAAACATGGGTGACTGGGGCAGAGGATCCTGTGAATTCAAGACCAACTTGGGCTACATAGTGAGCAAAAGGTCAGCCAGGGCTACATGGAAAGAAAGCTCCTCCCCACCCGAAATATTTGCAAGATTTCCCCACTCAGAATCTTAGTACCTTCGTAATCAGTAGGTATTATTTTTTTAAAGATTTATTTATTTTTATATTACATGGACATGTTTTGCCTTACATGCATGTCTGTGCCCCACGTGCATTGAGTCCCCTCAGAAAGGGTGTTGTCTCCCCTAGGCTGGAGTTACAGGTTGTGAGCTGACGTGTAGGTGCTGGGGATCAAACAGGAGTCGTCTGGAAGAGCAGTCAGTGCTCTTCACTGCTGAGCATTCTCTACAGCTCCAATCCGCTATTCTTGATATTAAGATGCCTGTCATTCGCTGAACCTATCATGAAGAATTCAGTTATTAAGTAACATGCCTGTCATTCGCTGAACTTCTCATGAAGAATTCAGTTATCAGCTGAGTCAGTTTTGGCCTTTGCTGCATTACATAATTCAAATAAAAACTTAAGAGCATTTCCATCTAGGAAAAAAAGTCCATGCTCAAGAATTATCAAGAAATTTAAAAATACTCGTGCTAAAACATAAAATAAAATAAAAGGGCAGGGGACCTTGGAGATACAGCTCAATGGTTAAGGGCACTTATTGCTCTTGCAGCGGACCCTGGTTCCATCCCAGCACCTACACGGTGGCTCATAATCCTCTAACTACAGTTTCAGGGGCATCAAAATCCCTCTTCTGGCCTCCTCAGTCACTAGACTTGCACATAATGCTCATATATACACATGGGCAAAACACTCAAGCATATAAAATAAATAAATCTAAAAAGTTTTTTAAAGTGTAAGATTTAACCACTCTAAGATGTTCATGCAAAATCCAAACCATGCAAATACAGAAGCTCAATTCACACCTCCTGATGGCACTGCTGTCCCAAATGCAGA